AAAACCAATGCAGTGCCCGGCTGCAATGATCCCCTGGTTTTCTGGCCTGAGAGAACAGCGGTGCCATCCCCCAGGATACATAGAACACTTTCAGTCTGCAAAAGCAAAGAAAGAACTGCACTCTGAAAGAAAATCCTGTTTTGTTTACAGGTTGCTTTTATTTACAAATATACTGAGGTGTAATCTCTCTCTTTTTTTCTTTTTCTGTTTTTGCTTCAGTGTCTTTGTGTGGGTGGGTGTGTGCACATGTTTGAGAAACTCATGTATCGTGGCTGCCAGGCCATGGTGGCAGAAAATAAAATCAGCAAAATGAAATTTAAAAACACTAATAAATAATTTAACAATGACAAGTAATTAAATAATAAAGAAAACAACAACGATCTACATACATTATGGTGGCTTTTTACCGACACAGAAGGAAAGAAGGGGGAAGCTACTGCGAAAGGCAGATGGTTACGTATGAAAGAGCATATTCATATTTTTACAAGTTAAACAAATTGTAACAGACAGCTACAAAATACTACATTTTGATAACATAAATACAGAATATATAAATATACAAGTAATACAGCCAAACACAGCTAAAAAATAGGGTGTTCACTTAAAAAGAGAGTTCCCAATGCAAAATATCTGGCAGTCCCTTCACAGTCACTGCTGAACAGAACAATGGTGGCAGAACCAAGAGGACGTGGGCTGTGTCCTTTAGGAAGGCAAATGACCGCCACTTTATTGGGGAAGGCCTCAAGTGAGTGAGGCTGTGCCTAAGTCCCCCCAAAGCCAACACCTTCCATACTTGCCCAAAGGTAAACACGTGCCTAAGGAGCCCCCTAGTGAGACAGATTGAAACCTGAAGCCATGGCACACTGAAGTGGGTGCAGCTGCTGTCTGCCGAGTGCCACCAGGTGAGAAGGCTGGCACCTAGAGATGGACCAGCACATGCAGGAGCCCCTGCTCTCCATGGATGTGGGAAGTGCTTTGAGCATTGGATTGTGTGCAGCGCTGCCCTGAGCACTTCAGACTTGGAGTACTGTGGCTCCAGATTCTGCAGCTTTGTTGTGCTTTAGTATACTCTCTTTCCTTTCACTTTTGCGACAAAATCTGGGACCTGTAAGAGCTCTTTCCTTCCTCTTTGCTTTTGCTGTTAAATTTTAGCAACTTTTTGGGGTGGCCAGGATTACCGATTTGAAGAAGGCGCTCTCACAAACCCCAGCTCGAAGCACCCTGGCAGCATGGTGGAGAGCTGGGTTCCTGGGGCACCTGGGAGGCTTTGGATGTACCTCTGATCGCTAAGGAAGGGAGTCCTGAGCAGAGTGAGAAGAGGTAAGTGGGTTCACACCATCCCTGGAAGGTATGCCAGCATGAAGACCCTTCCCCATGCAATGATGGCACGGTGAAATGGCTGCCAACAGAAGAGCACTGACCTCCTTTAAGGACATGGGAGTATTCATCAGACACGGGCAGGGTGGGTCTGAAGATGCCACTCAGCAGCCATCGTGAGACTTGAGCGAATCATGCATGAGCATGGTTAGCAGTGACTGAGCCAAGTGGTCCGGATGTTTTTAACGACAGATTTTAAAGAAGAAAATGAGATCAAAATTCTTGGGATGCTGTTTCAATCTCATTGAGTTTAACCACTGTATTTTAATTACAACTATAGTTCATGTTGTGACTGTGAAACATATCTACCACCAGACCCTAAGCGCTTAGAACCCAGGCTTTATTCCATAGTGCCTTGGAAAATAGGGCTGAGAAGAGCACTACATGGTAGGAATTGTTCCCTTGACATTCAGCCATGCAATGAAGCACACTGCCACCCAGCTGAGAGCCACTTGTGTTTGGTGACTGCGCTGCTCAGAAACCATTTATGAATGCAGGAAAATCTGTGTGCTATCACTGCTTTTATAAACAGATCCAGTAATTGCACAATGAAGACCTCTGAGGAAGATGTAATGTAGTGTATTCACTCTGATCTCACTGAGATCCTTTTTAAACATTATTGAGCAAACACTGAAACCTAATTAATCATCTTTTACTTAATTGCATCTTGTCACCACTTTACCTTAACGTCTATTCCTTGCTTAGCCAAAACAACATGATTGAAGCACTGTGAAGAGCTCACTTGATGCATTTATATTAGAGAGAGGTTAATTTCCTAGGGAAAATGATCACTGTAAGGTGCATGTAATAAACTGCTGTCGTGACCTCTAGCCTCCAAGCTCCCATATGTGCAATCATTGTTTGTGGTTTCCGTGGAAGTGCCAGATGCTAAGAATTTTTGGCAAGGGTTTATCAGCTTGACTCAGTATAAGGTATTACTGTGATATGGCCCATTAAACATTTTACTTTTACCTGATCGGTGACATTTCCCTTGCCAATAGAAGAGTAAAAGAAAAATCAAAAAGGTCAGAGGTTGCTATATAATCTTTTACTGCAGGTCCCAGGTTAAAACCACAATGATCACACTCCAGTAGGATAATTCATTCCACAAAAAAAAAAAAAAAAAAAAAAAAAAAAAAAAGTGACATTTATTTTGTTTTAATGAACTTTGGCCTTTGCCAGATATAATGGGTTTGCTGGAAACCTTCGGCTATGCATTCCTTCTCTTGACCAGCAGCACACAGTGGCAAGAGAAGCATTATGCATGCCAGACAGTATAACTGTGTAGTGCCTGTGACACCATAGGTAGAAGAATATGGGGGAGCAAACAGCTATGACACCATCATACAACACACTGATGGAAAAGAGATGGTAGACACAGGTACACTGCAGTGAAAGAGAAAGAAAGGGTGGCAAACAGCCATCTATAGAACAGCAAAGGATTATGGCTATTTTAGCTATCAAATGGGATATCTAATCCTTTTCTTGGAAATGGATTGTATTTTTAACATCCAGGACAGAAGCAGAGGTAGAGTTGGGACAAAGCAGTTCTGCAGGTCACATTATAGCTCTCATACAAGTCTCTGTTTACATTAAAAATATCATTTCGATTCTGCCAATAATGTGGGACAAAGCAAGATTTACGTCTAGTTTATAAACCCAGTACGTCTGACATGATCAAGATGCTTTTCTATGACTCTAAAGAAGCACAGGAGGAGGATGGGGAAGAAAACATAATGAATCCATTGAGATTGGTGGTTACAAATGTTTATAATGTGCCATACAAAAAGTGCTTGCCTTCTGCCCTGCAAGCAGTACAGCTCACCTGAGTTCTTTATAAATATTTATTACCATGCAGAGAGAAAGGAAATTCTTTATTTTAATACACAAGGAAAGGGAAGGATGGATAAGAAAAGAAAATTCTTCCAATTTCAAAACACATCAGGGCGTTCACACCCTTCAACTAAAAAGCCCTATCAGAAAGTGAGAGAATGGTCACTAACAAAAGCATAGGGGTAAAGGCCCCAACTCCTCAGAGAGACGAGATGAGCAGCTGCAGGGAGGGGAGCATCCTCCAGTACCTGTGTGGGGCCATGGGATCCCTTGGGCACCAGGAATCATGTGGAAAGCAGGTACGGGTTTGGCTGCCGTGCAGCAGCAGAAGGGGTCTATCTCCAGGTCTGTGCTTCACTGCTGTACTGTATGCACGAAGTCTTCTCCCCCAGTGCTTGCCTCACCTCCATAGAGTGAAGCTGCGTTAACTTATCTCAGAGATAAAAGTTTGCTTACTTAATAAACCCCTAACACATGGTCCACATTTCCATTCCGGAGAGAACCGTGAATGTATTTCTTTCCTCAGACCTGGCACCTGATCCTTGCCACCCACCCCTCCTGGGCGCACGGAGAACTGTTCTGCACCAGGAAGAGGTGAGCGGCCGTGGCGGAGCTGCCGGCAGGACGGCGGTGGGCGCAGTGGGCGCTCCCTGCAGGGCATGCTGCCCCTCAGCCAGGGGCCCAGGAGCGACCGTGCTCTTGTGACCATGGTGACCCATGCAGGCTGCAGCTCTGCCACACTGCCAGTCCTTGGCCCAATGTCATCCAGTACTCTGGACTTGGTTTTGGCTGTTATGGTCAATACAGTAAAGGTATTTGTTTCAGAAAGTTCTATCCTGCCAATCTTTCCCCATGAGCTCTATTTTGAACACACCCTGTAATTACTGATATTACCCTGGCAAATTTTCCCCATGAAGTTTTCTCCACTAAGAACCATGACTGTACTTGTCTGCCTCTCCACATTATAATTATCACCAGGCAATATTCATAACTATGCTATTATTATTTATGATATTTTATGCCCTACGAAAACCTATATGACATATGCTCAGACTTCAGAGTCTGAGATGATCAGACTTCAGCTGGGACATTCCCTTCAGCTCAAGCACTTCTTGCTCCTCCATTTGCACTACTACAAGGTTAGTTGGAGTATTTATTATAAATACAGGAGTCCCATCAGTGTGAAACCTGCAGGCATTCAATTTGACTCCAGTTCAATACATCCAAACCTCCCATTGTGATCTCTTTCCTACTATTTTTTCCCAGTTGGTGCACGTTTCAGGACTTCTGATGGCTCAGGCTAGAATTGTATACCATAGATTCTTGCTGAGGCAAGACAATTAACTAAAGGAGTGCTTAATTATTCCAGATGGACAATGGAGTATAGCACATTTATGCCTCATGCAAAACATAAATAAACAGAACAGAATGAACAACACATCTGCCAATCGTAATCTAGACTTAAAATTTGGCACTGAAATACTTACAAACAAAAGTGTTTTATTCTCACACTTCAGAAAAATTAAATAAAACTCTGTCTTGTAAGCACCTTTAGTTTTAATTATTTAAGATCAATACTAATCTAAACGCCTCTGTCCCTAACATGCATCTCATCTCCAGGGTCATAGACCTTTCTTATTACAAAATCACTGGCTTTCTCCACAAATATTACTGTTAACCAGTTTCCTCAGTACCATATGTATAAGGGCTATAAACTAATGAGCAGATCTAGGTTATGTAGAAAAAGTGTAGAAAGGAAACAAATGTTGAACGTCACATTTACATTAACTTCTCACAGTTCAAATGGCAATTTATCCACAACATAGTATGAATCATGCAGTAAGAAAAGGGAGGAACCTCCAGTTTCTTTGATTTATTTGTCATATGGTTGACTGATGTCAGTATCAGTGGCTTAAAAAAATTTAAACATCCAAAAGAAAGGAAGAGAGAAAAGAGGAAAAGGTCTAGCTTTCCGCAAAATCCATTTCCTTTACAACGAAGAGCTCAAACCAAACCAAAACAAAGGCTGCTGAAGAGCAGAATCTTCTGTTCCTTTCATGCTTCTCTCTTGGTCTGGTGCAAGCTGAGAATCAAGGGTATGTGACTGGTAGATGTGTTTTGTTTATATATGTATGTATGTAGGTAGGTAGGTACAGATATATGCACGTACATACATACATATATGCACACAAATATAGTCTTCCTAAAAATGCTCTTTGCAGTCCAGAGGCAGCAGGAGTCACTGTGAAGGAAGAGCTGGGCAACATATGGCTGTAGAGTCTGCACTGGAAAAAGTCACTGGCTAAATACACGCCGGCTGTTTGTTTTCATTTATTTTCATGAGGCGAAATACGAGCTCTGCATAGAGTACAGCCTGTCAATGGGGTTTCCTACCCTAGCCTGCATGGAGTTAACTTCAGAAGAGGCAAGAAAACAGTCGCTCAAGCTAGTTAAAGAGGTATCACTGTCGATATCATGAAAAATGGAGTCGTTTCCTGCAAATGAAATGTATACATTAAGCTGTATTCTGTGCAGCCAGAGGACACAGTACACACGGATGCGATGCTTGTATATAGCACACTGCAGCAAAAGGGAATGCTTCTGGTCTTGTTTTTGCATGTTAATGTAATTTGGCTCTAAGGGTCAGACCTATAAAAAGAAAGGCTAGCAACCAATTTGCAGAGTTCAGCTGGCAGCAATATCATTTAGAAATGCAGAAGCCTGCCAGTTTCTAATATACATGTCAGTCAACAGCAAGCCTTGGCTGATGACGTGAACAAACAGTGTCAGGGGAGAAGAGGGCTCCCGGTGCCCCATGAGCTGCCACTGAGCACTTGTGGGGGCTCAGGACAGGAACGCAGGGCCACTGAGCCCACAGTGGGAAACAGCAGCCTGAGCACCATAACCAGAAATGGCTCTTACACAGGAGGCAAAAGGCAGGCCGACAAAGCCAACCGGGCCCAGGAGGAGGCCCAGCTTTCCTGGCCTCAAGTAAGCTGTAGCTGTAAATATGCTTTCTTTTCAGAAAATTCCACTCTTTGTGGGCTGGTTTGGAACACAGCACCATTTATTTCCCTTAGCAACTACGATTTCAGCTTATTTCATATTTTAAGGTACCAGAAAGAGCTCTCGCTCAAGTAATGTGAGCTTTAGGAAAGTGTTACTCTGCTTCTTTTTCCTTACACATTCATTTAAAATGGCTTTGTCTTAATTCCTGCATTGATTTTGGAACACAGGAGCTGCCTCCAGAGGAGTTTTGCTTAGAAATTGCCAAGCACATTGTTAGCAACAAAATCACAAGTCATCTAATGCTCATTTGCACTTCAAATATCCTCAGCTCCCTACAGTATTTACCAAATTGCCTGGCGAGCACTGTGGTCTTGCCTCAGTGGAAAAAGCAGTCATACAGACCCAAGCCAGATTTCTTGTTAGTCTGTGCAATCCATGCTTATGACAGTCACGTGCACGTTTAACTGCAAGGAAGTGCTCCTGGTCAACACAAAAGAGTCTGATGTAAACAGGTCCTCTTTGTCTATGCCAAGGTCAATAGTAACTGTCTGAGAAATCCTCTGAAATTTTATTTAAGTGCCACACTGCAATCGTTCGGAATCAATTATTAGGCAGTTAATATGCTTGTGAAGCATTTGGTGTACCTATTCACTTGATGTTGCATGGTAAGGAAATTGTAAAAGCAAACCATCATCTTGATTTTGGACAGAGAATATAATTATGCAGGAGCAATGTCCTGTGGTGACATATCTCCCAATAGCTCAAAAGCAAATCCATGCATGTGATCTGAGGGATCTTTGAGGGTTGGTTATTTATTTTTGAATAAATTGATCACTTCTCTTTATTAGACCACTTTTCAAGGCACTATATTCCCAAAGCTTCTAGGAAAAAGGAAAAACTTGTGAGGAAGGTAAGGAAAATTTGTCACTGTTTATTTTTAGTCTTGGACAGTGATTTAAAAAAGTAAAGCTGGAGAGATAATGTTGCTCTTCTTTATCATTTATCAAAACTATACTCTGTAGTAGTGTCCAGAAACTGGGAAGAGCCCTCTTCTACCCTTTTATGTGTACACGAAAATATACACACAAAACTGACCAGTAGAAATTCCTTTGTACAAATCCCAGAAAAATACTATAACAGCAAGAAACTCCGTTGAACCTTTGGAGTGTGAACCAGCATACGAACCCTGCTATTTCTGATGCGGCAGAATGATGCATGCCTTACCATAAGGGTTCATGTGGTCGCCTGGCATTTGTGGAGGGGTCAGACCCTGCTGAAATGGGTCTGTGCCATAACTGCTTTGATCCATTGCTACAATCTGCTGCTGTGGTGGTGCAAGTGGTGTGTAAGATGTCATCATCCCTTCCATTCGGTTAGACATTACTTCTGCAAAAGACACAGAAGGGCACAGTCACTGCTTAGCAACAGAAAGGCTACAGATATCACTGCTGGTGACGTTACTGAGCATAAGAGCACTGTGAATACAAGTAGGTGCCTGTGCCATTCAGAGGTGCCTTCCCAATCTTATTTGAGAGTACAACTATTAAGTGCAAAGACCTGTAATCTCTGGACCTTATCACCCACATCTGGGTGCTGGATAATATCTTTGAAAAGTCTCCTTGTAATTGCTATAGCCCTTACAGTCTCTAATGCCTGTTGGTGCCAGCCTAATACTGCAAATGCAGAAACAGTACAGCAATTCTCTACGCAGGACTGGATATCATGTGGAACAAACAATGTATGTTTCCTTAACATACATTGTTGCAGAGTAGCCTCTCATGCAGCTCACAGGTCATGATCCTCAATGTCATGACAGTTTTTCTGCTCTGCGTCAGAAGAATTTGAGGCTGCAAGGTCTTGAGACGCTGCTCTTCAGCAGCAATCCTGAAGCTGCAGGACATGTCCTGGCAACTCTGCCCAGGACCTGGGGCACAGGAGGGGCTCCCTGTGACAATGCTGAGCATGGTACCCTCTCTTCATAAGAAAATAAAGATAACTGGAAGATCTCCATTAAGTGAGCCTCCTGGAGACTTCCTCCAGTGTAAGCTCCTCTGAACTGCAGATTTCTTCCAGGAAGGTACTAGCTTCTGTAAGCACCTTGAGGGTCTGAGAAGAATTTGGGATAACATACCACAGTCACTCAGACACAGCAGCTCTTTGTGCTTCCACAGGTAATGCTACACACTTGTGAATACCCTGCATGGCTGTACTGAGACAGTATGTACCCATGTGGGAATGGCACTTTGAGAAAGCTTGTAGATTCTTTCCCCCTTGTTTTGCCTCCATCACAGATCCCCTACCTTGCCCTAGTCGCTGAGAGTTTTGTTGCTCCTGCTGCTGCTGGTGCCTTCGTGCTAGTTTTTTCATCTGAGTAAAAGAGGAAGAACAGAACAATCTCATGGGTCTGAATGGAACAATTTTTTTTTTTCTTCCAAAATTCTCTGTAAACATCAAATCAATTAATACAGACCACTTATATTCATGCATACACCACTTTGGGTTCAGTTTCATTTCTAAGCTTAAACATTTCAGTTCACATTTGCAAGCAAAGTTTACTCCCAGTGTTGTGCTTCTAGGGCACGAACTTAATGTTCGTGTTCTCGCATGGATGCAGACAGCAGAGCACGCAAAATGTACATATCTTTGCGATGTGTTCAACATCTAGGGGGTGGGGAGAAGGGAGTCCCTGTTGCAGAACAATTCATGATTTACTTTTGAGAACTTGAGAAACAACCTACCTTTGCTCTTTGGTTTTGAAACCAAACCTGGACAACTCGCACACTGAGTCCTGTTTCAGCTGCTAAAGTTTCTCTGACCTAGAGGAGGAAATGTTTAAAGCTATATTTTTTTTTCCCCACATCTAGTAAGTCACATTCTGAGGAAGATAATTGCATTTACAATAAATACTGCACGCACAGAATTATTTTTTTAAATTCCTCATATTTTTGCACAGTTTGTGCAAGCTCTGCCCTTCACAGCACTAGTTTCATAAATAATAAACAAGTATTCTGAGCAGTATAAAATGTTACTAAATCATTTCATGATTTTTAGTTTACCAATAAACTGGTTTTGCATGAAAAACTACAGACTTAGCTATGAACTATGTTTATGCTTTTGGCAACAAGGCACACTGCACTGTCCCAGGAGATGTACTTTGTACACCTGCAGGACAGCGTCACTTTTTGCAACAAATTTTGTGATACAATTCCACTTTTTTTTTTCACCAGACAAACTCAGGATTAAATAATTATCTAGATTAGTTTTCAAAAGATTTCATTTTCAGCAGCTTTATCATATCTTTCCTTAGCTGCTATAAATGAGATAACACCATGGTTCACTTTCTTAAAAAAACAGGACTGGAAGGACAAGTGGTAGGTCCAGGGCTGTGCACCCATCTCCCCAGAACGTGAATCCCTCTGCGGTGGGAAGGAGAAGGGCATGAAGTCACTTTACCCAGCTTCTGAAAGTCCATGACTTTGTTTTACAACAAGCAAATAAGTTGCTCCATAGGAATCAGTCACAGAGCTGCTCTACATAACGAATAATAAAAAACGACACAGATATAGAACTGGTCCCAGGATGCTTTCTGGTTTCTGCATTCACCCCCAACCGCCTGCTGCTGGCCCAGGAAGGGGCTGGGGCCTTTGTGACCTGATGCTCTCACCCTGTGCACTGCCTGGTGTCAGAACAGCATGTAGGTCCCTATGGAAGCACCTACCTTCCTACAGGGCTTGGAAGACACTTCAAAGGATGCTTTGAATGCTCGTCTCTGCTGTGTAGTGAGTATTGTTCTTGGTCGTTTAGGTCTCCTTGGGTCCTTCCCATCATCACTTCCTTTTCCTTGTGTTACTTGACCTTTGGCAGGCTTAACATCTCCATCTTCATCATCACTTTTAACTGGTGAAAAATCAGCAAGATATAAAACTGTTTGTGTTCCACCAAGATAATGGGGTGTTTGAGAACTGCTCTTCAGCTACAAACTCATCGACAGGTCAACAACTGTGTTTATCTGCAGACCTATATTTACTATAGGCAGGAGGAGACTATCTTAAATCTGTGTGTATGTCCTAAATCAAATTCCACAAAAGGAGAAGAATATTTTTTTCTGCTTAATATATAATTGAGGGCATGGGACAGATCAGGGTATGTAAATTCAGAATACAATGCAGTATCTCCAGAACATGGGTACAGAAACCCTTGGTACCTTTCTACCATCATCTGATTTCCTCTGTGCTCACCTGCTGAGACTGCTACAACCACACTGGCTAACACACACCTTTGCCTTCAAAGAATAGCTCCATCTTCTCCCTCTGCACTAGTTTCAGAGAGGTGCCACTGTTTCCAAGGCTGAGGCAGCAAAACAATCTAAGTGCAAATATTTCCAAAGTATCTTAAAGTCTGTCCACATAAATATAGTGTAGATTCCAGAAATTGTTCTGAAAATTTTCATGCTCTGGAGATAATATTAAATAAAGTCTTTTCCCTGTCATTTCAGTATTCTTTCTCTGTTCATTACAAACTATCAATATGTGTATGCACAAATTTATCTTTCTTGGCAAAAGCACAAATATATATGTATGTGCTTATGTAAATAGATTATTTGTATTTTCTGCTGTTAGATTATGAATGCTAGTATATTGTACTATGAAATTTCATTCTCAGTAGCAAACATTAAAGAGCAAGTCTGAATTCTGATGTGACAAACAACTTTTCAACTCAGTATATTTCATTTCAACAGACTACCAGGGTTTTTTTTCTACCAGAAAACATTAATGTACTATTCCAGGAACCTCAGCCTTAAGAAACTCACTGCAATTTTGATATACTCAGAAATTACATTTGGGGAATTAACAAATTAGACTTTAATTCATTATTGGGTCTGATTATTATGCACCTAGCAATCTAATCACCTTTTACTTTAATAAGCATCTTTTGCCTAATGATTAAAGAGAAGTTCAGTCATTTTAATAACCACGACATTATTAACTTTCCAGCAAGCCATTTCTAAGGAAAGGTTAGTGAAGATTAGTATTGCTCATTGGAGAGCTACTTTTGTGTCCAGTGGATAAATATTTGATTAGAGAAGGACACACACTCAGCCAGGGGTATGGGAGATCATTTGCTCTTACTCAGGCACTTAGGAGATATGCGTTTTCAATGCATTTGAGAATGGGAGACAAAACATCTCATTTAATTTGTCAACTTGTTTTTCAGGTTCATGTCTGGCTAACAGAGAATAATGGAAAAAAAACAAAAAGCACCTCCAGGAGTAAGAAACTATCCCTTGTGCCAGTGGAAAATGAAATTGAAAGCAAGCTTGTTTTGTACTGCTTGGGCAGCTTACTGCCCAGTTGATCACAAAGTACAAAACCCATGAAGGAACGTGCATCCGTGCCAGACATGGCCCTCCGAGGCAGGCAGCTGGCAACAAGCAACCTCCAGTCCTGGCGTGGCAAGCTCACACTCGCTGGTGGAAGGAGCAGGATCACCATGCTCAGCCTGCAGGGCTGGGCACAGCTCCGCAGTGCTCTTTTCAAAGGGTTTGTCTGGATACAGACTGCAGCAGGTTGCTGAAGCTGGGGTGGCAGAACAACATGCTGAAGGGCAAGTAGGAAACTCAGACACCTCATGCAAATTCACAAAGAGCCCAAACCCTGTGATATCGGGATGACAGAGCAAAGCACTCATGCTCCTGCAAATACAGTAAGAAACAAGAAAACGTCTGGTCCTGCACACCCTGCTGACACAGCAGTGACCTTTGTCTTGTTCCTGACACAAAAATATAAATTTGAGCAATGCGATGAATACGACTCTTGGATTTGAGACAATTACAATAAGAACAATTACTGTGCCTATTTTCCCATAAACTACAGGCAAAGATCCAAATTATTTGTCTGCTTAATGGAATGGTAATTGTTGATTTTCTTGGACATTTTCTTGGGAAATAAATGAGCAATTATGATGACTGGCACCATACTGCACACACACTCTCTCTAGTCTTGGACTCAACCAGGGCACACACGCAATGAGAAGTCTCCAGTCTCAGTGAGAACACATGGCACAGATAGGAGGGATGCTGTTCCTCCTGTTAATGCCCGAGCCTGACAGGCAGCCCTCACTGTAACTGTTGCCAGATGCTCTGGGTTTTGGACTGGAGAATCCAGACCCAGTGTGTGATCTTTGTATCATGTACAATATTGCGTTCTCAGCCCCAGCCAGACAGCAAGCAGCTTTGCTCACTCTTTCAAAACTTTCCCTTGGAGGTGGCTGGAGGACAGCAAGTATTCATCCCTCCTATATTGTGGTGATCTTGGGAAGACACCCATCAGCTATCAGCTGGGAGAGCTCCAGGGCCTTCTTTAGGAGAAGCTCTGCTTGCACAGCATGGGGACCTTCCACCCATTTTTCTAGCTCATTACTGAAAGTATATGAGCAGGAGATTCCCTGATATCAGAGCAAAAATATTTTTGGAGGAAAGAATGCTTATGGAAAAGAGTAGGCTTTGAATGAGGTCTCAGGTAATTGAAGTCAGTCTGATTCACATGCTGTGATCTCACAGAAACTCACAGTATTGACCCCTCAAGAACCCTCAACGTTTTTTCAACTTTACTAAGACAGCAGCAAATTAAGGAAAGGAGCAAATTCAGGAAGAACAACTGGTAGTGGGGATTTTTAGCCGTGCCTGTTAAGAGTTGTAACTGTATGGGTGACAAAAGCATATAGAGAATGTGGATGCATAAATGGATGTGTTTTTCTGTAAAAATGCTCTGTAAACTCTTCCAGCTTTTCCAGCTGGGATAGGAGTGGGAATGCTCACCTGAGTCAGAATCATCTGGGCTGACGGAGCTCAACAGGTCCTTCTCTTTCTCATAGTCACTTTTACAGAGCAACTGCCCTTCCTTAAGAACAAACTCATCCCCTTTTCTCAGCTGTCGCTCACAAACGCAGCAACAGAAGCAGCTTAAGTGGTAAACGCACTCCAGGGCTCTCATCACGAATTCTGTTGGGGCAATTTTTTCCATGCAGCCACTGCACTTGGCTGCAAAAAGCCTGCAAGAAAGAGAGGCAAAAAAGTCAAAGGGAACATCAGATCCACACACTGCATGAATTTAAACACATGAAGTTCTTTAATTTAGCTACAGATCAGATTGCCTTGTACTTTTGTAGATGGGGGACTTGCATTCTTAGTCTTGGAAACATCACAATGTATTGAAATCTCAGACACTTTGGACTGCAGATTCCCAAACTGCCTGTACTGGATAAAAATATAAAGATTTGTTCTCATCCCACTCCTTTGTTCCTCTTTAGGACAAGAAACATTAAGGCGTTCTCAGAGTTTGGATAAGTTTCTTCAAAACCAAACTTATTTTAATTCACTTTTTAGAGGAAAGGCTGGGCCAGACTTTTCTTTATGCAGGCGTTTTGATTTCAGAATATATTCCATGACTTTACCTTTCTGGTACTGCCTGTGTCTGAGGATGCTGTAACAAATGAACACAGAAATGAGCATGGAAACGCAGTGCTGTTGCTGAGCAGATGACACACACATGTAATCACACACATGCAATTGATAAAGAGAGGAGTGAAATAACGTGGCTTTTCTTTGGACGTTGAGTTATTCCAGAATAACCTGTTTCCAAAGACAGTCCTGTGCATTTTAAATGGTGTGAAACATCCTTTGGCAGAGACAGGCAGTGATACAATCTGCTAAATTACCACTATAATCACAGGCTCTACAATATACACTATATTCCAGACTAGTTCTTATTAAACCTTTATAAACCCCCTCTTTCATACATCATTAATTTTCTAAGATAAAGTTAGAATGATATAGATTAATTTTATTTTTCTTTTCTAATGGCAACTGGGAATCTCCCTAAGTGAGCTTTTAGGAAGACGGCTGCTTCAAATAAAGACGAATAGCTAAGTTACGTCCCTGTACCACATAGTGGATTTGGTAATTTGAAATTCAGTGGCTTTTATGGCAATACATCAAAGCCCAAGGTGCATTAATATTTACATTTTTTCAGTGAAATTAACACAACTGCAGTGATGCGTTCACAGGAAAAAGGAGATTCTACATTGGATGATGGCATATGATGATTTTTTGTTGTTTTTTTTTCATCCTCAGAATTATCACCTTTTTTATAAAAGGCAAATACGATGAATTTTAGAAGGCGCACCCTGTGGCACCTACTGAGTCTTCCAAAGCCTCCATTTTGTCTGAGCTGAGAAAATCCAGCAAAATGGCAGTCACTAGCTCTTCAGCAAAGCAATGAAGTCACAAAATAGGCAAGAGGGAAAAGAAAATGTAAATACATTTGCATACTGCATCCAAAGAAAGGCAGACTGCCCGAGAACTTGTGTGGCTCTTACGCCTGTATCTTTTGATCTGAAAAGAAATCTACTGTAGTAACTTTGCTGATTTGGTGCATATATTTGCACAACCAGAGATACAACACAACAGCTATGCATACAAATCACAGAAGGAACACTGAGCAACTCCTTCTTGGGTACACAGTGGAATAAATTTATTAAAGGACAACTGACGGTGTGCAGGACCAACAGCCACTGCTGATGAAGGGGCCACTTAATTTCATACTGTCTGCTGGGTCTGTCCACAGCTTTTCTTTGCTGTTAGAGGCAAACTTCAGCAGCAAGACGGAAATGTGATTTTATGTTCTGGCTACTAAGCATCACAAGAATATTACAGTGCTTTAGCTAGCAACTTCCTATGCAGGAAATATTTCTATCCATGCACAATAGCATATCTGAAAGGATTAAAACACAATGGGGGAAAAAAAAGAGCAAACAGATTTTAAGCACTTAAAAAAGTTGTTTCTGTTTAACTGCTTAAACCTATTTGACTCAGTTTAATTAAGCTTGTATCTTTTGTCTGAGGACTGTTGTGATGATGGAGCACACTTAAAGAATCTGAAGATTAGCAAATCTGGTGTGAAGGCATCCGGCTCCCCTGACTGGCATCAGTTCATTTATACTGGTGTGACAGTTAACCTGTGCACGCTTCAGTAAAACTCAATGGCTGGCTATCAGGAGGGATGGGACAGACCCTACATGTGGTAGCTGCTCTGCTGGGCTGCAGATGTAACAGCCTGACCAGGAAACATTGCTGCATTTCTGTTTCTACAGTCTCCAGGTTCCTGACTTCATCTGAATTTCAAATCAGTGCTACTAGCCTGAGAAATCTTAGAAAGAAACTCAGGAAAGTGACTGCGATCCTGCAGATACAGGCACTGATCTGTCTAAAACCCCTTGCAATACTGCTGCGATGATGATAAAACCCAGCATTGCAGTCGGGCTGTTAATAAAAGTAGTGCTGAAAGATCGGTGTACTTTGGAGGCTTTCACAGAAAGAGTTAATGCAGGATGTCTGCTCCACCACCCCCCTTTGTAGGCAGACCAGGGAGGCCAGGCTCTGAGAAAATAAGGGCTTTTTCTCTTTGAAAGAAGAATCTAGCAGAGATGCTGGCTCCAAGAGAATGTACATTAAGTCTTCCTGGAGCAAACCATTCCTACTGCAAATCCACTGGATCAGCACCAGCACTACGTGGGCTGCTGCATGCCAGGGCCAGGAGAGCCCAGGCAGAAAGGAGCAGGCAGGAACCTCTCTGCTTCCCCTCTGAGTGGAGCAGTAAGGACAGCAGCTTCCCTCGGAGGGCTGCGGGAGGCCGGACAGGGAAGCCCAATGCAGCACTTCTGCAGAGAGCATCAGCAGCTTGGGGCCACTGAAGCTGGGACTGGACTGACACTGCAATAAATGGTGCACAACATTAGATAAGACAGCAGCTGTCTCCAGTTTTCTCCCAAGCAAACTGCAAAATCTGCCACCGCTCACTGAAAGTGCAAACACAAATGTAGCATTGTTTAGAAATAATTTTAAGGAGGAAAGCATATACTCCCCCTCACATTTCCTAGCTGGAACATAATAATATTCTATTATCTTCTTATCCTTGTGCTACAGAGTGTATTGTTTACGTGACTGGTGTTTTCTATGTCATACTGCTCTACCAAGTGGCTTTTCTTCCTCCTTGTTCTCAAAATAAAAGATATCCAACATGTACACAGAAAACAGTTCACATTATTTATTGGCAATTGACTGTTGCCAGGAAGATGGCTCCTTCACAGTAATGTTTCCAAAGGCAGTCTTTTATTTACAAAGAAATATATTATTGTCAGTGTAGTATTAAATCATTCAAATTAAGGTGCATTTGTCTGACAATACTGTGTTATTTTCATATCCTTAATTGTCCTTGTCAATCTAACAAAATCCCATAAACCTTACTTGGGTACTCTCTGCATTACAGCATGCACTCACCCATCTTACACTGAGTTGGATTTAATTCTGTGATTATAAAATTTTCATTACATTTATCATTTAAAATGTCTATAAATGTTTTTTAGCTTCCAGAAAGTAACCCAGGGTTATGCACTTCTTTTTTTTTTTTTTTTTTTTTTTGCACAAGGCAGTCTCACAACAGGAAACTAATCTTGACAAATGACCAGACTTTGATATCTGTGACCTAAAACACTGCTCATTAGACTGTTCATTTTATAAATGAATGGTAATAAACCTGTTGAGAAGAGTAGGATAGCAAGAATACTTTACAGATCACCCATTTGTAGTTTTTAATCAAGGCAACACATTTGATGAGGAGCATGCAGATATCTATGCAGAGACAAACGCTGTCCTACTCAACCACATTTAAAGAAATATTTCTTTTGCTTTCTATATATTTTGCAAATAATTTGCATAGCTCTGACTTTTTACCCCCATGGCTGATTATCTCCAGCTCTCTTAAGTTAATGTCAAACCTCAAAATCCTTGGACTTGTTAAAGTATGCAGAGAGTGGAAATCAAATGCCTTTATTAGAAGCCCCAGGAAATCTCTGACTCCTAAGCACAACGAAAACATTCCAAAGAAAATTGTTCAAAGCAGACAAAGGAGAAAAGCAGAACAAGAAACCTTGTTTTGAATCAACGACTGCAAGAGTTTTATAAATAAATTATGTTGCATGGACTATTTTGAAAGACAACTCAATAACTTCAGAAGTTTTTAAGTGTGCTTGTCTCCATGACTGAAACACTTAGGAGATTCAGCTGAGCTCAGGTTCGGAACAATGCCCTGTTTGTCTATTCAGGTATTTGTAACAATCCCCGGGAAGTAAATTTACAGTACAAGATAACAAAAAATATTCACAGTTTTAAACTGGGCGAACTTACTAAAATAATTTTGCATTTATTGCAGGGGCAATGAAATACTAAGACATGTGGCCCTGTCTTTAAACAGTAGAGGAAAATGTTCACCAGCGGAAGAGGCCATAAAGATTTTATTTGTTAGGATATCCCTGTGAAGTCAGGCTGAATCAGTAATCCTTAGGAACAACCACAGTTACATGATCTGTTGTGCCTTCCTGCATGGGCACAACCATCTGGTGTTTAATATGTATCACTGATTTATTATCTCTTGCGCAGCTATCTTGCCGTAAGCTTGACCCTGATATGCTCCTGAGAATCACTGTTCTGCTGTTTACTCTTATAATGTCCTGACAACCCACACTTTACCTTTCTATTACTCATCCAGGTTCTTCATTTCCTCCTGTTTGTGGGCAAACATATTTTAATTGTTTTATTATAACTAATTTAATCTGTGCTGAGAGATCTCAATGTGCAGTGTGAAATTTGCTGTACACATTAAGTGTGGTTCAAGAGGTTTGTTGTATAGGACTCAGGTATAAAAATAGACTCATTCAGTCAGGTTGTTTATTTACTGGACCTCTGCTGCAAAGCAGTAAATAGGAAGTTATTAACTGTTATTTGATATATGCGAGAGGACAGATGTTGCTGTCTAACTATCAGAGATGTTGAAACATTTTCTTTCTGCGTTATTCTGACATTATGCGTTGCAGGAAACTACAGCAGATAGCTGCATTTTCTTTATTTAATAACTATGCAAAGATGGTGGACACAAGCTTTTGTTAATAACGTAGGTATAGTTTGAAGCTCTGATACTTTTTCTGATAAT